TAAATGTAATGACAGTACACAATTAGTAGGAGCCTGTCTGGACTTGCTATCGTACGACATCCTGCCATTAAGTTGGAGATTCGTGCCCGGGGTAGTAGTGAAGCTTGACCAATCTATAATGTTGCGTAATTTCATGATGCATCACCATGCAGTCGCATGTCAATCGCCTAATTTTCTCTTGACTCATTCCCCGTTCCGATCTGCCAGAGAAGTTCTTTTCATTTTTTATAGTACTGCTTCTAACTCGAGCATAGAACACAATAAACAACAAAAATAATGATTAGCAGAGGCTGAGAAAAGCACATTGCTTTGTTGTTTATGCACTGGCATGTGTAATATGTTGATATTTTAGTTGTGTTTCATAGCTACTAATAAAGTTGCTTGGTAGATACTTGGTAGGTATTGTTTTTGAGTATAGCTGCCAATTAGTCTTTTACCTCAAACTGGTGTCACCATGCGTTTTTTGCGTTTGTGCTTGTTGGTGGGGGGGGGGGGGGGGGGGGGCTGATGGGTAGAGAGCTCCTGTAAGGAAAGTCCATAAGCCACTGGTTGGTGCAAGTACAACACAAAAAGAAGAATAAGTTTTGTATCAGTGAACAAGACTGCTGAAAGTAAGCATAAGATGCGTATGAGTGTGTTTGCTGGACTTTATCTCGATCTGGTGACTTGCTATGTCACACAATAGAAAAAAAGAAGGGTTGCCTGGTTTGTTCACTCACAACTGCATAACGTATTCCAAGTAACTTCGTTCCTCTAATCATTCCTTTCATAGTAGTCTATTTATTCATACCTGATCTAGTGCACATGCAAGCAGATCAGGCAGCTGCGCATAACACGGTGCCTGACGATTATGTGAGCACCGTCTCGAGCAGCCTGGTCACGAACACGATGCAATACGTAAATGCAAAATAATCTCGACAACCGCTGCCATGTCTAGCTTTGAAAGCTTCTTCAGAACTGCATTCTAATCGAGGCCACGCTACAACTGCATTCACGAACAGACGATTGAACTTTTTTTCAGGCCGGCACGCTGTACACATAGTTTTACTAGCATAGGATACCCTGGCACATGGTGGAAGTTTATATGAGCTACTACACCCAACAGTATGATACGGAGACAGACAGTGCAACTACGAGTGCGAAAACAGCTGAGCGCACCGACAGCAAGAAAACTGCAAAAATAAACACAGAAGGGGGTGACCTGCATGATTATGTAAGTGACCCAGAGCCAACAGAATTACAATAACAGTTAAAATTAGTTGAGAGACTTGACCATGAAGGCCATGCCACTTATTCCGAGAAAACACAAAATCGTGGTGTCGTTTGCCACTTCAAATGAAAATGTTATTTGGCAAGGACAAGACATGCTTACCTTTCGTGGTCAGTCGTCAATGTGGCCATGGTAGTGTGCACTAGAAATTTATCGCATTAACGATGGGTTGGGATGAAGTAAGTGCACGTAAATCGTGCATGAGCGACACAGATACCCAACAAATTAAGCAGCAGCCGGAGAGACCATGGCAGCGTTGAATCGGAAGTCAAAGCGGACTACGTGCATCCCATGAGCCTTTTCGAGTTTACGCCTCACCTATTATGCAACATTCACGTGATACCCCCACCACACTGTGACGCATTTACTCGAGTCACCCCTTGGTGGTTTGTAGATTCCATGTGTTCAGCATGGGCAGTTGAGGCCACGCGCCATTTCGTGGCATCATATTTGTGTTGTTTAACTTTTTTCTTGAAATCACGAGTTCACCTATGTACTTGTTGTCACAATTGTGGCAACCTATGTCATAAAGAGGACCAAGGAAATTTCTGCTCGACAACTTGTTTTTCATATTGGCTAAAGCATTCCTTAGCTTTCATGTTGGTACATGCACCATTTTAATGTCTGCTGCTTCTACATATCACATGGCATATCTGACTTTCGAACCACAACATTACTTACTCACGTCGGCATATCTGACTTTCGAACCACAACATTACTCACTGAGGTCTGTCTAAATTTATGCATGTTTATCTAGGCCGTGGTTTCGGTTCGGCTTTAAGGCCGTCTGGTTGGTCTAGGCTGTTTGTCTAGGCTAGAACTGCCATCACCACATGCTTGCCGGGCCACTCATGGCTTTTAATAATAATAATAATAATAATAATAATAATAATAATAATAATAATAATAATAATAATAATAATAATAATATTATTATTATTATTATTATTATTATTATTATTATTATTATTATTATTATTATTATTATTTGTAGTAATACAACAGCAAACATTCTCAGCTACACACTTATTGCTGGTAGCATGTGTTTCAAGGGTAGCACTAGGGTAAGTTCAGCTAAATTTATCATTTAAGTTTTGTGAAACTTTGTAAATAAATCTGCAAATATTTTTTAGGTTCACATCCACAGAAGGGTATGTAAATCAAGGTAATGTGCCGACATTCGTGATTCATCTGTGGAATCAAGGAAGCTGTTGCATGTTGACAGATTCCTTCTTGCCACCACATATACAAACATCGTCACTTTAAACGCTATTTCAAGCTTTCATTGCAGCCATCCAAGAACTCTCGTTGCACTTCAAGCGTTAAAGCTCAGAGACATAAAATACAAACATGCATGAGTCCTTTTGAAAAAAGAAAGAAAAAGAAAAGAAATTTGCAGTACGGCTCTGTTCTTGCAATGTTGCAGTTACTCGTTGTCAAGGCAAGGTACACAGAACATGCGAGTAGTAGTTATTGTTTGTTTTTTTTTGCGAAAAGTATATTTTAGAGGAGTGCAAATTAGGCAGGGACCCAAATCAGTAGTAAATACAGCAATCAAGGTGGAATCACATCTAATTCTATCCACATCCTAAGTAGTTGAGTCAATAAATACAGCAGTTCAGGTCGATCTAATTCAATCCAATTCACATCTTAAACGGCGTGGGCTACAGGCATTATAGTAAACTAGATTATACTTCAGTGGCAGAACCGGCCAGGCTCCCATTTCTTCGTTTAACACGGATGCTGCGAGATGGCACCACTGCTACTTTTCCTAGCAGCGGTGACTGCGATGTTCGACTACCGCAGGCTTCTTCAAAGTTTCATCTGCAGTTATTTTTAACTTTTGTGTTTGCTTTCTGGTTCTTCCGAACATCAAACAGCTGACTTGATCACTGCCTGGCTCAGGGTTTTCATTTTGGCCTGATATACATGTTTTTTCACATTTACCGCACATGCTCAGAACATTCAGAGTGCATCTGGTAAATAGGTTTACTTATTTTATATGGAGCATCTGATTTTTTTTACCCTTTGAATGTTTGTTTCCAGCGCACAGAGTTTTCCAAGAAAATGTGCCGGTGATGGAATTTGGTTTTAATCATCGTGGAAAACCTAGAAAAGTCAAGGAATTAAGTAATATCAAGTTGATAGACACTCTGCTGTTGAACCAGCGGAGTGCTTCTATAGTGTCATTACTTCTTTTTTTTTCTTCGAGGGGAGTAGGTGGGTGCAAGTATGCCATATGGAATAAATTAAACTACCCCCAGAGGAATGCCTACAGCCATCTCCCTCACCAGAAACATCGGAGACATCCTTCAGGAACAGAAAGTTGTCCATACAATCCAGGCTGGCACACTGGTCTGCAAGGGTTGTGGCCTGCCGGCTTGAGCCCCCCGTCCAACCTGGCTCCTATATTCTCTTTTCAGAAGAATGTTTATTCTTCCTCCAGACTAGAATATACAACACGGTTTACTTATTGAGTTTCAAGCGATCACTAGAGTTCGCGAATCTATTTGGAACCAACGTCCACTGACTCTATTGACGAGCGTGCACAAGATGAGGCTTTATGATTTAAAAGGTTGCACGAGCGAGTAAACTCGGCATTTAGTAAAATGAGATACATTTATTAGATAATATGCGTGTTGATCACTCCTCAAGTAACAAGCATTGCTTATATTACCATTTGGTGACACTAGCTGCAAATATTGCTTTTTACAAACGCCAGTTGCGTTGTCACATGCCGGCTCATATGTGACCACGCTGTGGATGTTACATTTTAAGGGCCAGTAATAAGGAAAACAAATCGATGCAGTTTAATGCCTGAAAGATGCCATAGTTGCAGAGCTCAGAAAATTTCGACCACCTGGGGTTCAGTAACGTGCGCCTAAGTCTTAAGTACACGAGCCTCTAGCGACTTTTCATTCATCGAAAATGGGGCCGCCGTGGGCGGGCTTCATTCCCACGACCTGCTGTTTGGTCGTCGAGCACCACAACCTCTAGACCACCGTGGCAGCTCATTTTACGCGCCATAGTGACCAAAGTTTGCAAGTGTAGAATTATTTATGGCAATAAAATCTCAAGCAGAAAGCTGTTTAGAAAAACCAAGCGTTGGGTGAATTGGTGTTCCATTGTGGAAGGCATTTTGCGCAAAAAAAAGCATAACCTCGAATGGCACGCATTTATCCGTAGTGCATCAGCCAAGCGCACACTCCCAACCCACTTGCATTGTGTTGCAGGAACATCTGTCAAAAATCACAATCTTGCAATAGCGGTCAAATTTAGATTATGTAAGTTCAGTAGCTGGACTAAACACTTGGAGGTGTCAGGTGCATGAGAAACAAATACGGCATGCCAAAATTGACGTTTCAGAGCATTGATCACTGGTGATAGATTTTAATAGGCATAGTAATGAAAGAGTTCACATGAAAGGTGGCTGCTCCACAATTCTCTGGTCGGAACTGCATTTTTTATTAGGTTGTAATAAACTTCAGACTATTGCACAGTTACTGTATAGTGTTTCAGAAGGTCGACAAAATCTCTTCAAAAGCGCAAACTTCCTTTTTATGTACTTCTCTGAAACATGTCTGACTTGGTGATAAGGTCACATTAAATTGTGGTCTTATTGAAGATGTTGCTGTGTGGTTTTCCTGCAAAATTCAGGCCTGCACCCTGACACATATGTGGGAATTATCTGTAGGACCAGGCACTTCAATAAGTTCTCTGTTTCTTACAGAGAGGTGCACTACTTTGGTCTCTCCGAGGAACATGTGGGCACCAGGGACAACCTGCGCATTGTCTTGTGTGAGCAAGAGGACCGCATCCTGGGATTCGTGGATGTGCCTGTCAACGTGTGGCCTAAGCGTGGCAGGTCTGATGATGAGAGCGAGGAGGAGGCTCCAGCAGCTGTTTTGCCGAGAGGTGTGTGCTGTTTCACAGCTCAGTGCAGCTGTTTAAGTTGCCCTACTGTATCTCATCTTTAGTTGACATATTGACGTTAAGAAGTTGGCTTACAAAGTGACGAAAAGTATAAACACTAGGCTTGTGTAAATATTCGAATGCTTCGAATGTTCCTACAAATATCACAGTATTCGAATTCACTTCAATTTTAATTTAAATTATTGAAAATTTCAAACTATATGAAATTGACCTAAATGGTGTACATTAGTCTATGTGTAACCCTCGTAAAGATGGTTTCACTGCAGTGGAGGGGGGCCAAGTCGTCAAAGCATTCATTGAAAATCCGCATCGCCATGAAGCCCCGCTTCAAGATTAAATGAACATGTCATCCTAACATTGATTCATCATTTTTGATGCTTAAAAACTTGTTATACTGGCTTATATGCTCTAAGTATTGTTAATAATAAACGTAACATAGTTTGCAAGTTATCACTTGCATTACCAAAAGTCAAATAATGCTACCTTTCAAACTTGTTTCCACTTCTTCTGAAATGAAAAAAATGGCATTTGCAAAGGCCTTGTCTGAATTTAAAAATGTAGATTGTGTAGGTTAATGAGGCCATGACAAATATGCCAATTTTTTGTATAATATGTGAAAAATACTATTCGAATTTGATTATAAGTTAGTAGACCAAAATCACAGTTTGCTTCGAATTCACTTCAAACCTAAAATTCACTATTTGCACAAGCCTAATAAACGAATTTCAAAATTTCTCGAGAAACAAAACTTCGTCGAAGGACAACATAGTTTTCGCAGGAGCTTTTCTACACAAACTCAATGAGTAAAAACTATACATGATTTTGTGCTATCCATTGAGAGCAGTAACCAAACTAAGGTTATTTTTATTGACTGTTGCCAAGCTTTTGTCACAGTTTCTCATAATAAACTGCTTTATAAATTAGACTTGGTACTTCAACACCCTTAGCCAGTATCCTAGGTTTCATCATACATAACTGATCATTAGTGAATTGTTTCTTTTATCCACAATTAACTAGTTTTTCAACTCTTATCTCTACTTGAGCAACATTGCTTGAGCAGAGTTTTAATGTCATCTGGTGTCTCACAGTGCTTGATACTCAGACCACTTTTTGTCCTTATTTTGATAAGCCATATCATTGATTGCATTTCAATGGCACCTAAACATGTGCTGATGATTGCATTTTATATCACATAGTTAAAAAGCCAACTGAACAGCTGCCCCTAATTCAAGCTCTCAAGAAGGTTGTGTAATGGGGTAAAAATCGGCAGATGTCTTTCAATCTGGAAGAAATAGTAGCAATGACAATTACTCACAAAAAAGTGCCCGTTATCATAATGTCTACAATAGCAATTACCATACCGAAGTAATTGGGTAGAGGTACCTAGGGCTTCTAAGAACAAGTGATCCCCTTAGAATCAATACACTGGTCGAGTCGCAGCGTGAAAAAAATTTTTTTTTCGCTGGGTACTAAAGCTATCCACTCTCCCAGCATGTCTCCTTGCATATAACTGTTTCATTCTGCCCAGATTAAACTATGCTGCCATTACTTGGGACCCATTGATTGAAACGAATATTGATAAACTGGAAAGTATTCAGAAAATAGCAGTTCACTTTGTACGCGATTGCTATGACCACACACCATCACCGCAACCAGTGCTAACTTGGGGCACCCAATTGAAGAGAAGCGATCATCCACGTTTGAAATTTTTTCATCGTATAATAATGGGCAGGGGTGCAACAGCTTCGCTAATTAGGCCAATTTGATAAGATTCCCGATAGCTGCGCCGAGCTGCGCCAAACCTGTGAAATTTGCTGAATTTGCGCCATGCTGTGCCAAAATGCCCTTTCAGCCTCAATTTTTTTCAGGTGCACTAATTTCAGCGAGAAATGCAGGCCACGTCAGCCACCTGCAGCTTGTGCCATCAGTAAAAGCATACAAACCCAAACTATAGTGCCTAGAATATTGCTACATGCATGTATACTGATATTCTAGGGGGCGACGCGCGTGTGTGCCTGACGAGGAAGACGAAGGGTTGTCTCCGCTCGATCGCTGGTAAACCGGGCACGCCATTACCGCTGGTTTGGAATATATCTAATCCCCAGCCTCGTCGTTACGGCGTCTCTTCTTTTCCGTAACATATTTGGTGGAGGTGGAACGTTCCCCGTCTTCACCACGAAGCTTCGCAGTGGCCGCACCATTCAGTCTCCGGCCATGGCTACCAATGACAACAGCCTGTCAGTGTCTCCATCTGTAGCTCCAGCCACTACATACCTGATGATGCCCACCCCCCGTGATCCAGGTACATTCTCCGCACAACCTGGGCTCGACGTCGACTACTGGCTCCGTATGTACGAGCGTGTTAGCCACACAAACCGATGGGACCCTACCATGATGCTCGCCAACGTAATATTTTACTTGGACGGCACCCCACGGGTCTGGTTCGACGCCCATGAGACCGAGCTCACCAGCTGGGATACCTTCAAGGAGCGACTACGCGACATCTTTGGGGACCCGTCCGGTCGCCAAATGGAAGCGCGAAAAGAACTCGCCACTCGTGTGCAGTCGTCAACAGAGTCGTATGTCTCGTACATACAGGATGTCCTCGCGTTGTGCCGAAAAGTCGACGAGCAAATGACAGAGAGTGACAAGGTGGGCCACATACTTAAGGGCATCGCGGACGACGCCTTCAATTTGCTCGTCTACAATAACGTCATGACCGTAGATACGACTATCAAGGAATGCCGTCGCTTCGAAATGGCCAAAAGCCGCCGTGTTCTGCCTCAGTTTACGCGGCTACCAAACACGGCTGTTACATCCACTTGCACCGATTTCGGTGCCGCACCACCCATGCAGGACAGCGTGACACGAATAGTTCGACGGGAGCTTGAGGCGTCAAGTCCGGCACCATTTCCTCCACATCCGCTCGATCATGGCGCCGCAGAAACGCCTCCGCCGGTCTCCGTTATTCAAGCCGTCATGAGGCAGGAAATTGCAAAGCTTGGTTTTCCTGTGGCCTGCTCTGTGTCCCGACCCGTCTCCAGACCAATGACAACAAATGCACCACATTTTATTCCGCGATCCCGCAATCCGGCGGAATGGAGAACTGCAGACGACAAGCCGATCTGCTTCCGCTGCCACCGAGTTGGCCATATCTCCCGCTACTGCCGCAGCACTTGGACGCCCTCAAACTGGAGTCAATTTTCCTCTAATCGACCATACGAGGACTCCCGTCGGTATTCGCCCAGTCGTGTGTACCTTTCTTCCAACATCCCCAACAGCCACTCCACCGCTCGTTCGCCGCCACCTCAACGTCGCCGTTCCCCATCGCCCCAACCACGCCGCTATCCGTCGCCGGTCAACTGTGGATCCTCTCGGACGGAAAACTAGATCATGCAGCTCCGGGAGGTAGTGCTGCATCGCTTGCGAATTATCCAAATCCTCCATTGACGCTCCCCACTGATACGAACTTGATTGAGGTGTATGTGGACGGTATTTCCTTGACGGCGTTAGTCGATACCGGAGCTCAAGTGTCTATAATGAGTGCTCATCTGTGTCGCCTGCTCAAAAAAGTCCTCACGCCTGCAGCAACTAAAGCCCTCCGTGTCGCTGATAATGGAACTGTGGCCATCACTGGAATGTGTACCGCTCGTGTTAGTATTGCCGGCCGCCATGTTCCCGTTTTATTTACGGTGCTTGAAAATTGCCCCCACGACCTAATCTTCGGCATGGACTTCCTATCGACGCATTCTGCCCTCATCGATTGTGCCGCCGGTACTCTCTGCCTAGAACTTCCTCTTCTCCCGGATTCTGACCCTGAACTCCCGAACAGCTTGTGCACCACTGACTTCGTCCGGATACCGCCTAAAGCTCTCACATTCATCGAATTGGCAACACCCTCTCCCGTGCTTGACGGTGATTATATCGTGACGCCGATTACTGATGTTCTCCTGGCGCGTGACATTACTGTCCCACACTCTGTCGTAAGCATGGCCTCTAACCGAACATATTTACCTGTTATCAATTTCGGTTTCATAAAACAAGTGCTACCCCAAGGAATTTCGATCGCCACACTAAGGCCCTTAATTGACGACCACGTCACCTGTTTTACGGCAGACGTATGTCCCGAGCACCCACATCACTCGCAGGATGTCACGTGCCTCGATGCGACCTTACGCTCCATGATCGCCCCGGACCTCAAACCTGAGAAGTCAACCGCGCTATGCCGCCTTCTGGCTTCATACCGCGACATATTCGACGTCGACCACCGTCCACTCGGCCAGACTTCACTCGTCAAGCACCGCATTAACACAGGTGATTCTCATCCCATTCATCGGCGACCATACCGGGTGTCTGCCACTGAGCGTAAAATAATTCAACAAGAAGTCACCAAGATGTTAGCCAAAGGAATTATTGAACCCTCTTCGAGCCCATGTGCGTCCCCCGTTGTGCTCGTTAAAAAGAAAGATGGCACGTGGCGCTTCTGCGTGGATTACCGTCATCTGAATAGAATCACGAAAAAGGACGTTTACCCTTTACCCCGCATCGATGACGCTCTCGATTGTCTCCACGGCGCCCGATACTTTTCCACAATAGACCTATGTTCCGGCTACTGGCAGATTGCTGTCGACGAAAAAGACCAAGAGAAGACTGCATTTGTAACTCCAGACGGCCTATATCAGTTCAAGGTTATGCCATTTGGGCTATGCAACGCCCCAGCCAGGTTTGAGCGCATGATGGACTCTCTGCTACAAGGGTTCAAATGGTCAACATGTCTTTGTTATCTTGACGATGTCGTTGTATATTCCCCAACATTTGAGACCCGCCTTCAGCGTTTGTCAGCTATTCTCGACATATTCCGCACTGCAGGCCTCCAATTGAACTCGTCGAAGTGCCGCTTCGGACGCCGGCAAATTACAGTGTTGGGCCACCTTGTCGACGCCTCTGGTGTGCAGCCGGACCCCGAGAAAATTCGTGCAGTC